TTGCCCAACACCTCATGATAGTCTTAGGATTTTCTTGAGATTTTGCTGTGTCTAGGTGTAAATTAGTATTTATCTTCTTGTGCTTGAGTGTACCTCCAAGCTGTGCATCATACCTCCTTCAATTGTAGGAAAAAACTATTTTAACTCTTCAAATATTGATTTTCTTATGTTCTGTCCTTTTTCTCGAAGTGCCTATCAGATATATCTGGGAGCCATCTCATGTATCCTCCATATGTGATTAATTGATATTTCATTAAAAAAAATAAAACTCTTTATCCTTTTGTTGTTGTTCTTTGGGTAAGTTCCTTAGTTATTTCCAGTTCACCAATTCTTTCCTGATTGTACCCCTGTCTGGAGTTTTATCCCATCTATTGAGTTTTTCATTTCATGACTATGTTTTTTTGTTTCCAAGAGTTCTTATTTTAAAATTTCTGTCCTTTTGTATAATTGCTTGATTTTTATTAATAGAAGTATCTCTTTATTTATATTTGATAATATCCTCAACATACATAAAAGTCTATCCTATTGTTTCATAAAATTATTTTACCAGGAGTGAATTCATGTCATTATGTGATTGTTGCTCTCTTTTTTGTTTTATTTTATTCATGTGATTCTCTTCTCGGAGACAACCAACCAACCCACGACCAAAGCAACAGTAAGATTTATGGCAGATTCTCTTCAGCACAAGCAGGTTCCAGGAAACAGTGGAGGAATGACTTCTAAGTGCTAAGAAATAAGTGAAAACCCTGAATTTTATGTCTCCCTAACCTGTTGTTTAGGAAAAAGAACAAAATAAACACAGAGTCAGACCATCACAATCTCTAATAAAGTGATGCTCAAGTATTACATCAGAGAAATAAAAACTGAACCAAGAAGGAAAGTGTGTAGCCCAGGAAACAACAGTGAGAATGGAAATGGGCGAACTATGGTGGTAAACTGAACTACTGACTAAGGACAGACAGGCAAAAACTAGCATATCTTAGTTCACACAAAGGTAAAATGAAAACCTTAGGCAATAATAAAATACAGACAGGGAAGGGTGTTTGGTGGGTTTTTTGAACACACTAAGGTTCATTTGTGTTCAGGAGGGGTTGAGAAATAGGCACAACTTCTGACATGTTGAAATGATGCCTGGGAAGTACCTGTGTTATATAATTAATGGTAACTACTGAAAGCACAAAGATATACGGATGGTACGATGCATGTTTTAACATAATAGCCACACCAACACACTAGTAAAACACCAGTGTTTTCCAATCCAACAGAAAACATGGAGAAAGGGCATGGGGGAAAAATAAGGAATGGCAAATAGAAATCACAAAATAAGGCTGGGCATGGTGGCTCACGCCTGTAATCCCAACACCCTGGGAGGCCAAGGTGGGAGCATCCCTTGAGCTCAGGAGCTTGAGACCAGCCTGAGCAAGAGCCAGACCCTGTCTCTACAAAAAATAGAAAAATTAGGCAGGAGTGGGGGCATGCACCTGTAATCCCAGCTACTCAGGAGGCTGAGGCAGGATTTCTTGAGCCCTGGAGTTTGAGGTAGCTGTGAGCTAAGATGACACCAGTTCACTCTATGGAGCCAGACTGTGTCTCAGAGGGACGGAGCCAGACTGTGTCTCAAAAAAATAAAATAAAATAAAAACCCACAAAATAAGACAGTAATAAGAAGTCCAAATAATCAGTATCATTATCCAAATAAATGGATTAAATCGAACATATTAAAGAATAAATAATAGAGCATATTTTTAAAATCCAGCTATGTGCAGCTCTAATAGTCACATGTAAAACAAAGCATATAGAAAGACTGCAATTAAATAGACAAAATGTACATACTAGGAGAATACTAACCAAAATAAAGCCTGTAACAATGATATCAGAAAAAAAATACTTTCCTAAGGCAAAGCAAGAATAAGGATAGAGACTTGACCTTATAATAAAAGGAGCAATCAGCCAAAATTCTGTTACAATAATAACATTGTATCTAGCAACAGCATAACTGCCAAAAATATAAAACAGACACTAAACTACTGAAACTGACAAATCCACCATTGTGGCAGGAGATTTAATATAACTCCATCAGAAAACTAACATATCAAACATAATTTAAAAAATTGAAAAGGATATAGATGATTTGAATGACCAAACTAATAACCTCAAGCCTATGTACATAATGCATACACCCCTCCAGCCAATAAATGGACAATGTACATTCTTTGTAAGTACAGGTGGAACATCACAAAAACTGACCATGTGCTAGGTCCCAAAATCAATGAATGCCATCCATATACAGAATGCTTATTTGGTGTTTATTTTTTTTTTTACCATAATGCAATTGAATCAGGACTCAAAAGTTAAAATAAATATGTAGGCATAAAAGTTTAGAGTTCTGCCCTAAATAACAATAAGTTAAAAAGGAAGCCTCACTAGAAATTATAAAAAAATTTAAATTTAAGAACAATAAAAATACATAAAAACCCATGGGATTCAGCAAAAATAATATTTAGAAACCAGTGAAACCAATGTATAATCATTTAAAAGAACACTTCAAATTCACGTTTCAAACTGACACAGTGTCATTCGATCTCATTTGGAAATACCTAATTTCCAACACTGGAAGTCTACCTACTGGGAAAATAAGCTAGAAATGCAAAGATCAATCGCTCCATATCCAGCAGCTCACAGGCCCAGCCGAAACATGAAGGGCCACAAGTGGTGAGATGGATACTGTTCCATAACGGAGACACAGAATTTGCCAGTAGAACCCAGATGGAAGGAAACAAATTATATAGATGAGAGGTGCCAAAAAATTTCCAAAACAGAGCCTAGAAAGCTATATGGAGTTCACCAGAGAGACGAGAGAAGATGTGCATTTCTGGCAGAAATAATAGCATAGGTAAAAAATAAATAAATAAAAGTACAGATAAGAGTGTTTAAGAAACAGTGTTAACAATTCAATAAGAGTAACTGATAGGAAAGACAGACCCTAAATGAAAAAAGACAGGCAGGGGCCAGACCATGAGGCTGACCTTCATCCTGTGGGCAGTGGAGATTTTTAACATGCTAACTGCCACGTGAGTTGTATTTAACTCGCGGTACTGCTGAACTCGTGGCCTCTTGAAGCATATGGAAGTCACATCTCTTCAACTTGGGAGCCACGAGAACAATTTTTCAAGTTGCATATAACTCACGCACAGAAAGCAATAAAAAAAAAAATAACACATTTTTCATTAAATTAGAAAGGATCATTTTGCTTTCGAAGTTTTTACTCTATTTTCATAATAAAACACCAGGGCCCCGAGGAAAAACGCCTTTTTTCCTAGTGTGCAGTCAGGGTGTTAAGCGAGTGAGTGATGCGAACAGATCTGAATTTCAGAAAGACCAGTCAGGTGGCGCTTGGGAGAACGGACTGAGAGGAACCGGGCAGTGGCAGGCAGACCTGTCAGGAGACGACAAGGGGCACACACTATATGGAGAGGTAGACTGAGAAGGCTGTCAAAATTTTGCTCTAAAACTCTCCTTCCGCTTCAAACACGAGCTGCCCTCACCTCCGCTTCCCCGTCACAAATACTGCCTGTGACCTGGGCTAGCCAGACGGAAGCTGTGCATTTGAAATACAAACGTGTGGCTGGTCAACGTGGCTCACGTGCCGTCCCCGGTGGAAAGGGACGTCACGCTGCAACTCAGACCTCCCTCAGGATGCCTTGGTGCAATGGTCAGAGTTCACCATCCACTCCTTGGTGACCCCAATTTTGTGAATGATAGGGAAATTAACACTATTTTCAAAGAGTACAACAGAGCAGTGACAAATTGCAAAAGAGATTTATTTGGGAGACAGGAAGCTTTTGCATTTGGTGTTTCATCTAGATGTGTTGGGTTTTAATGGTAAATGTTAACACAGCCTTGGCCGCCTCCTTGTGCAAATATCTGTTTTCAAAGAAACCTTGGCTTCTCCATCTTCTTCCCTTTTATGAAGCAAGAAATTAAACAGCGAGAAAGCCAGAACCTAGAAGAAAATGTAAAAAAGCAGAATTTACACCTTAGGATTTTATCAATGGCTCCAGAACAGTATTTTCCAATGTGTGTGTCACAAAACACTAGCTCCATGGGAGGTGAAGTGAGGGTCAGGCAAAAACCAAAACCAAAACAACAAAACAAAATAGTTCTTGACTATATACGTTTAGAAACACAGGGAAAACAAAATTAAGCAGATTTCTTTACTAAAACACTTGCAGAGGCTTTAGAATAGCAAGAGGCTCTGTGGATTTCCAATGGGCACTTATAGGAAAGATGCGGCACTTCCCACACTCATCTGGCTGTGGCACTTATCTATCCTGAGGACAAATCTTCAAGGGGTGGTGTTCTGAGGAACACACATTGAGAAACCCTGCACCAAAAATTTCACCCTTTCTACTGGTTCCTCTTTTTTCTTTCTTTCAACCAGTTGGCAGCCCTGCTCTGTTGGTGTTAGCTTGGAGAGTTCGGCAAGACTCACTTTTAAGTACAAGTCACCAAGGTTATTTTTAAGTTGCCCACATTAGAGAAAGATGAGAAAAGGGTATATGTGAGCTCTCTCTACTAGTTTTGTAACTTTTCTTTCTGTAAGTCTAAAGTTTTTTCAAATCTTAAAATTTAAAAAGATCTCAAATCTTAAAATCTAACAAAAGGGCCTCTGAGCAACCCAGGCAGCCAGGATCTGAGGGGCCAAAACCAGGAGGAATTCAGGGAAACAGACGAAGGGGGTGATGCATTCACAGGTGATTTTTCTCTTTGGGGAATTTTCTGTCTTCCAACATAGGACATAGTCTGAGCAGAAAGCACCAGCCTGGAACTTGCAGCAGCCTTGCTAGCTGTGCAAGAGGAAAACCGGAATGCGCTGTAACCAAGGCAACCAGGATGTAAGAGGCCAGACTCTGGGAAAAGGGAAAACATAAAGAAGCAAACCTGACAGACGGTGTTCTTCTCAAGGCTTTGACAATTCCAAAGCTGAGTGTGCACAAGGCCAGGTGCTAAGAAATCAGCACAAAGAGGCTGCTAAGAGGCTAATAATCTAAGCAGAGATTCTGCAGTATCACTGTGATCGAGAGACAAGAATTAGAGTTCAGGACTGCCTGCTAAAGGAGATACCCTGGTAAACAGCCTGGGATTTTAGTTCCTCCCTGAAGGCCTAAACCCTCAGAGTAACAGCAGGCTCAGAGTCAAGACCTCTCAAAGCCTGAAATACGAACTTGAATCATTTCAACCCATTTGTAGTATGGTTATTAGCCTCTGCCCTCATTAGCTACTGGAATAAAACCAGAGCATCTCTGAAAGATACATTACCCAGAGCTCTACAATTCTTCACACAACATCTGCCATTAAAATAAAAAATAATTTGGCATATCAGGAGACAGAACCAAACCATGGAAGACTAAGGAAAGGATAGATAATATAACAGGAAACCCCAGTATTGACATCAGAAATTATCTTTAGCACAACTACAATAAGTATGTTCAAGAAAATAGATGACAATGGAAATTTTTATCAAAAAATTGGAAAACATAAAAAGAGCAGATGAAAACTCAATAACTAAAATCAAGAATCCAAAAGAAGGACTTAGGTCATTAAATAGGAAATATCCAATTTCAATCAAAAGTTTAGTTTATTATATCTCAAACAAGAAGCAGTATAATTAATCAAAGTGTAAGCCTAAACTATCAACACAGTTTTGCCCTCTTAACAGTAGCTTGTTTATGCCAGCAGTGAAGAAGCCTGCAATGAAATGGTGAAAAGTGTTTTCCACAGCTTGTTGAGAATGGAATATTTTTCCTTGCGAGAAGTGGTCCAAAGCCTAGAAGAAGTGGTAGTCAGTTGGTGCAAGGTCTGGGGAGTACAGCAGATGACAGTTTCCAAGTCTAGCTTCTGTAGTTTGAGCAGCGTTGTTTGTGAGAAATGTGATTAAGCGCTGTCTTGCAAGAGGATTGTCCTGTCTCTATTGGCCAATCATGGCTGCTTAATCACAAGCATCTTCATCATTTCATCCAATTGGTTGCAGCAGACATCCACTGTAATGGATGACCAGGTTTCATGAAGCTGTAGTGGATAATACCAGCGGCTGGACTATATAGACACCATTAGCTTTTTTTTTTTGATGAATGTTCAGTTTTAGACTGTGTTTTGGCACTTCATCTTTCCCCAACCCTTGTGCCAAGTGCCAAATGCTTCCGACTATCAAAAAGAATCCATTTTTCATCACACATAACAATACGGTATAGAAATGGTTCACCTTTATGTTGTGAAGGCAAAGAAAGGTAAGCTTCGAGACAGTTTCTCTTCTGACGTTAATTTAATTCATGCGGAACCCATCTACCCAGCTTCTTTACCTTTGTAAAGATTTGTTCCAAATGCTGCAATGTTGTCAGAATAGCAATGTCAAACCTTGCTGCTAATTCATGTGTAGGTTGAGAAGGACTCGTTTCCACTACAGCTTTCAGCTCATCATCATCCACCTTGGTCTCAGGTCACCCATATGGCTCACTTTCAAGATTAAAATCACCAGACTGGAACTTCTCAAACCATCGACGTACTGTGTGTTCATCAGCTGCCTCCTTCCCAAACACTTCCTTGATATTTCTAGATGTGTGCTCTGCATTGCTTCCATGATGGAACTCATATTCAAAAATAACATGCATTTTTGATTTGTCCAGTTTCACAAAAATTGCTCTAAATTTTTTTTGAAAGATGACCATAAGCCAAAACATGCATTTGAAAGACTGAGGATGTACCTTCACAATAAAAATAAAACAAGAAGTGTCAAAGTGAAATGTCAGAGAAATCAACTGTCAAACTTAGTACTTAAGGAAATCCGCCATTTCATACTTAATAATAATTATACTAATAGACACTGCAACTGACAGAATATGTGTACTAGAAGATAAGTCAGTAGATAATATCTTAATTGAAATATAAATGTTTCAGGATGAAACACAAAAAAACAAAAAAAAACTGAGGATGAAAAACAAAAAAAAACTGAGGATGAAAAACAAAAAAAAATCGCATTATAAACATATCAGGCACAGTGAAAATACCTAACACAAGTGTATTTTAGAATTTGGAATAAGAGGACAGAGAAATGGGAAATAAGCAATATTTGAAAAGGAGATGGCCAAGAATTATTCAAAATAGAAAAAAATATATATCAAGCTATAGATTCAAGCTTTTCTAGAAATTCCAAGCAGAAGCAGGGTAGATTACAAAAAACATATCTGGGCACATTATAGTCAAACTACTGAAGACTGAAGACAAAGAGAGAAACTTAAAAGCACACAAAAAGAAAAATACACATTGCATTCAAAGAAGACACAAAAGGACTATTAGCTGATGTTGCAACAGAAATCAAGAAACTACAAGACAATGAAATCACATCCTTAAAGTGCTGGCAAAAAATATCTACCAACATAGAATTCTATTCCCAATGAATATATCCTTCACAACAAAAAGGCAAAATTAAAGAAATATTCAAACAAAAGCACCAAAAGAATTTCTCATCAGCAGACACATACCAAAAGAAATACTAAAGGGAGTTCTTAAAAAATTAAATATTGGGCCGGGCGTGGTGGCTCACGCCTGTAATCCTAGCTCTCTGGGAGGCCGAGGCGGGCGGATTGCTCAAGGTCAGGAGTTCGAAACCAGCCTGAGCAAGAGCGAGACCCCGTCTCTACTATAAATAGAAAGAAATTAATTGGCATATATATATATAAAATTAGCCGGGCATGGTGGCGCATGCCTGTAGTCCCAGCTACTTGGGAGGCTGAGGCAGAAGGATTACTTGAGCCCAGGAGTTTGAGGTTGCTCTGAGCTAGGCTGACGTCACGGCACTCACTGTAGCCTGGGCAACAAGCAAGACTCTGTCTCAAAAAAATAAATAAATAAATAAAATAAATAAATAAATAAATAAATAAATAAATAAATAAATAAATAAATAAATATTATATATATATAAATTCCATCCTGGATGGAAACAGGAAAAGGTGGAAAGAAATGAAGAACACCAGGAAGATAAATCTAAATGAACATTAATAGCTTAAAACAACAATAATATCTTGTGAGGCTTCAAATGTATGCAGAATTTTAAAAACATGAAAACAATAGCACAAAAGCCAACACTAGGGGAGTTATTAGATTGTTGTAAGGTCTCTTCTGCTTGGAAGTGATAAATTTAATTAAGACTCTACCACATTTAAAAATGCATGTCATATTATCTAGTATTACTTCTTACAAAATCATAAAATAATATATAACTAGCAAGCCACTGAAGGAGTCAAATGAAATAATTAAAAAATGATTAATCCAAGAGAAGGCAAAAGGACTTCTGGTTCCAGTATGGTAGCATGAAAGCAAACTGGCTTCATCATTCTTCCTCACAGAAAACCAAAAACATATTATATATTGCACCAAGATTACCACCAGAAATAGCCCAGAACTCAAAAACATATACAGCACCAAGATTATCACCAGATATATCCCAGAACTCAAATATGAAATAAGATAGGTCCTAGGGCCACAGAGAAATGAAAAAGCTCCAAGCAGACAGTAAGAGAACTGTACTACCACGTCTGTGACACCCCTCGGCATCACTTTCTGCACTGGAAAAAGTGAGATCGAGGTGGATGACCAGCTTCCCCACCATCCTGGGTTCCCTAGAAGCAGGTCTGTCCCTGCCTTAACCTACAAGAAGCATCACAAGTGCCTGAAAGGAGAAACATCCCTGAGGACACACAGACACAAGAGGGGAGGTGAGACTACCATCTTCAGCCCTGGAAATTCTGCGCTGTAACTCGGCTGTAGGAGATGTCAAGGCTGTAGGAGATGTCAAATCAGAGTGGCTGTTCAGCAGCACCATACTGTAAGAGGTCTTTCCCACAGGACCCCTGGGCACAAACCCCTTGCCAGCTTTCCCACATAGCTGGGATATCCCCTTGGGGACCTCTCCATTCAGAAAGGTCTTGGCTCTAACTGTTTACTAGA